AAGATTATGAAGTCAAAGTTTTGCTCTATAAACTCTCATCAAATTGAGCTGATTTAATATTCATACTCTGTGTTTGCATGATTTTATAATCTGTTATGTGAATGCACTAGAATCACTGGATGAGGGATTCTGTATATTTCCTGGATTAAACAGAAGAGTTACAGAGTAGAAACCAATTGAGAAGATGAAACAACCCTTTCTGGCTTCAAGTTTTTAAAAATATAGGTCAATGTGACTTAATAAATCCACATGTTCTATAAAAAATATTCTAGTAATTCTTACACTCTCAGATTTACCATTTTTCTCCATTACTTTAACATGAAATGTGAAATACATTTTATGACTCATTTCTTGCTGTCTGTTTCTTGAGGTCTCTCATACTTGGACAATTTGTCTTTTCTCCTTTATAGATTCTTTTAAAAATAAAACTAAAGCAGACAGCAGCAGTGTCCTAGTATTAGTACAGTATGTAGATTTTTAGACCCTCATGTGACATATGTATATATATACAATTGCATATAGTTTACCATATATACATTTTATAAAGATACTTCACATAGTAAAAGAAGCTTATCAAATATTGAGAAAACATACTGTTTTGAAAAGTCACCTAAAGGCCCATAAATGTTTTAATGGCCTTTATTTATATATTTATAAATTTAACAATTACTCACTATAGAAAAATGGAAATATAAAAAATTATAATTTAAAAGTTTAATCAGTCCTAAGTCTAGCCATAAATATCATAAGTGAGATTTTGGTGATTTTTCTCTGTGTGGTAATCTTTAGGAGTCTGCTACACCTAAAGGTTTACATTCTACTTTTCCTATCTCATTAAATAGTATTTGAAAGCATAATCTTTAAAACTACATGAAAGTCTAGCATAGAACTTGTTGTAAAATTTAACTACTTTGAAACAACAGGTTTTGTTTGTTTGTTTTTATTTTTAAAGAACATTAAGTTTTGGAAGATTTTCAGTGATGCTTAGAGTTTGACTAAAAATGTGAGTTCAACCTCTAACTTCCAGAGTTGACCTAATTTCTGTTTATTGTGCTTCAAAAGATACAACCTATGCCTCATTTTGTACTTTATTAGGTAAGACTATGAACAAGATGTTAAAATCTGGCATTAAGAAAAAAAAATAGTAACTGCTAACATAGCTTCATGTAAGTGATCTGGTTAGGTTTGAAAGGTTTCTTAAAAAGCTTTCTGAGTTGTTTTTTATATGATCAGCTAATGAATTCAGCACAACTTCCTCAACCCCAACCTTTTTCTCCTGTTTAGCATTTTCCACTTTTTTACTCTGTGATGTACAAGCCCTCCCTGGTTAATTATGTATATATTTAGCTACTGCATGTGTTGGGCTTATTATTGTCATCTAATTAGATGTAACTTGAACTGCTTGCTTCTAGAAAAATCATTAAAAATTCTTTCCTAATGACCTAGAGATGACAAAATGTCTGTAAAGTGTGAAGAAGCAGACAAGCACAGGAACATCGCTCTTAAAGAGTGTTAATCCAGATGCTGCAATCATCTAATTAAACAATATTTTGCTGTCATTAACATTTTCACCAAGGAATTGCAGTTATAATTTCTTTGTCAGCTGTCTCTAGATCACTTTACCTTCAAAACTAAAGTGCCACATAAAAACATTAAATTGGATGGTTTAATTAAAAGTTTTTTTTTAAATGAAGAAACATATCTAGTGTTTCTGAGATCTCATTTACTGTGCTTCACTTTTATTGTTTGAGTAGATTAGTGTCATAAGCTTATGATATTTAATATTCATCCTCCAAGATAAGTCTTTATAAGCATAGTTAGTCAAAAAAAAAAAAAGCTCTTCACTTATTACTACTGGGAAAAGAAAGGAACCCTACCAATTACAGCACAAGGTTATTTACTAAATTTCAATTATCCAAAAAAATTCATAAATACCTATATGTACCAGAACCTAACAGGTATTGCTTTGAAAATATTTCACTTTTTTGGTTAATTTTGTAAACAGCAGTTGTTGTTGTTGTTGTTTCCATTTCACAAAGGTGTTTAGTAAAATAATTAAAAATAATAATGCTAATTTGTGGCTAAAACTTATAAATGGAAAGTACCAGAGTACCAACTGCATCCATGAGGGTTTTAAATACATCATGAGTTTTTAATTAAAATCAAAAATATATATTTGCTGTCCATGTTGCAAAGCTTTTATGTGGAAAGTTTTATATAAAAAGATTTTAATGTAATTGTCAGAACAGCTATTTATATAGTTTAATGTACTTATTGGATTTAAAATGGCTTTAGTAATTTAAAACTTACCAAAGTTTTCTAAGCATTTATTTTTAAAGAATCTTCCAAAGATTATTAAAAGTGAATTACAAAAAATGCAGGACAGGTTAACTATGGTGAGCTGTGACTGTTGGCAGCCATCAATTTGTGTGTGTTTGGTAAAGAATATACTTTATTTAAAAAATTTTTTTTCTAAAAATAGCTTTATGTCTTTATTAGAAAATCATTTCTTTAGAAAAAACCAGTGTCTTCAAGTATGGTCTCTATTTTTATGCTGTTTTGCTTAAACAATACATTTAAGTACTGAGTTAATGTAAATTGGCATTTTACTTATTTTATTTTAACAGTTTCTCCTTGTTATGAAATGTCATCAGAAATTTTCTTAAAATATGATATATAATTTTCAGCTGTTCATTTATTTATATAAGTAATGTTACATAAATAACATCAAATTAATCTCTAAAAATACACATATATTGGAAGACCTCGCTTTCATTAAAATCTACAGATTTTTAAGGAGAATGGTAACTGAAAGAATGGCAGAGCACTAAATATGCCAGGGAACTCCTTAGAACCCCAGAGACAGCTCTGCCCAGCCAGGCTAGATTCCCTGTGTCTGTACAAGCGTGGAAAACACACTTGAGAGTCATCAGGGGTCCTAGGTTAACATGGACATGAACTCTCAGTAATAATATTTAATTTTAGAATTCCACACTGTGTATCTTACAGTGACTGCTTTAGAAGAATATCTCCATATTCTGCTAAAGAAAAACTTTAATTAAAAGGTTCCAAATTCTTGCTTACTCTCGTCACTATTATTCATCACAATAGAGTTGCAAACGTAAAGTAAGCACATTCATTGGCTGCCAGTATGCCCTTCTGGTGGTTTAACATGCATGCTCACAAGGCAGTTCTCTCTCTTTGTACTTCTGTGCCTTTACACAGTCCTCATCCTCCAACAGGACTATCCTGCAGTTTCCATTCTTTATTTGGCTTATGTTTGTTCATGTTGTAAAATCTGTCTCACTTTATCCCATTTTTATCATGTATGTATTCATTCCTTCAACAGATATCCATCAGACAAACAGAGTATTCAACACACAGAGTTTGCTTTTTATTTTTAAAGCTCAGACCCTACGTTTTGGAGTTTACAGGACTAGTGGAGAAGCAGGCAAATATTAGCTGTGACACATCTGCAACAGTGCTACGGCAGAGAACAAAGAGGAAATCCCAACGTTATTCTCACCTCATTTCAGGAAATGCAAAGTGGGAGTGACATTCTGCTTTCTTTCAATTGCCTTCATATATGATAAGCACCTACATTAATTTATGCATTTAAAACAATAGGTATTTTTGTTGTAAAATGCAGAGATTCACATAAGAACAGATAAAACAATCATCCAATAAAATGTTTACTCAGTGAATTAATTTGATTTCATGCTTATAATTGTTAACAGATTTAGTTCTTCCTCAGATTATGTGTTTTTTTTTTTCTATTTCACAATCAGTGACCAATTGCTACAAGAGTAGGTATCATTTAATGTCAGTTCTTGAAGATAGATAAGAATATGTATATCTGTTCTACTGTTATACTAATATGGTGTGTGCACCAAGGCGTACAAGATGAAATTCTTATCACTAATATCAGGGAAATAGCTATTTTTTATGGGTTTGAATGGAAATCTAGGAAGTCCTATGTTCAATTCATATCATATTTTTACAAGAAACAATCTTTTCCAATAAAAGTTGTCTTTGGACCCTGTTTGCTTAATCATGTTTCTCTGAATTTCATCTGATCATTTGTAATTTCAGTATCAGTTTATCAGGGTGAGCCTGTGCTGTGCTCTCCCTAAGCACAGGCTTCAGTATCCTACCTGAAAAAAATTATTATGTCTAAAACTAAAAAACAAACAAACAGGAAACAATATCCAGCTAGCATTCAGCAGCTCTCTGCTAAACTGAAACAATATAATAGGAAAAGAAAATTTGTGAGCTTAAGGGAGTGAAGAAAAAACATGCTTGACATCTGCCTCATTGCTTTTCCATACTGACTTCAATGTACTTCCATTAATTTGAAAATTCTCTACTTTGATTGTCAAGAGAAGCACAATGTAGTATTCAGTGTGCTGGCAATAGAATTTTTAGGTATGTACTTGGTGTAATAGAACACCATCACATGATCTGCAAGTGGGCAGGCCAGCTGGTGACCTCTGCCACGATCACTTTCAGGGACCCTGGCCTACAAGGCTCTGCTTCCAAGGTGACAGTAGCGTCCTCATCATGTTCAGCTGCAAAGAGATGGACATGGAGCATCCAAGTGCCAAGCTGCAATGAACAAGCCTGGAGGTGCCGATACCAACTGTGTTCACATTCTCTTGATTGGAACTCAAGCCCCACAGCCATAACTACTCATAAGGGAGCCTAAGAAACATGGTCTAGCCCAGGAAGAAGAGAGATTGATTATGACAGATAGCTAGCAATCACTTCAAGTTATCCTATAAGAAAGTAATTCTCATTACTTACTTCTAAATTATTATTGAGTGAATTCACTTGAAACACGTTGTTAGAAGTGCTTTTGATTAAATAAAGACATAGTTCAATAAACAAAAGAGTTACTTTTCTTCTGCAATGCAATAGTTGCCTCATCAATTATAAAGACGGTCAACACTTTCCTAAGCAGTTAGTGTATACAGATTTTCATGTCTCTCTTTCTTTACTAGGACGGACATACAATGATCTGAACCAATACCCCGTGTTTCCATGGGTATTAACAAACTATGAATCAGAAGAGCTGGATTTGACTCTTCCAGGAAACTTCAGGGATCTATCAAAGGTAACTTTTAAATACATAAAAGTCAATTTTCTTCTTAAGGCTATATTCTAAAAACATTTCTACCAGAGTATGTATGTTCAATTAGTGTTGTAAGAAAGGCAAAGTTGAATGCCTCCTCTTTTTGCACTCAGTATCTAAATTGTTTCCTTAGCATAGGAGTTAAGCTATAAGAAGTTAAATTAGTACCAGTGTAGACAAAGTGAAATGGCTATTTGAGAAATAGCATGTGTAAGGAGAGGTTGTTCTGATATTCTGGGTTTTAAAGGTTCAGGCCAGAAACTTCAATTTAGTACAAAATATGACCAATAATTTATGTGATATATTTCTTAGATGACAAGACTTGTTATCTTAACTGTAGTACGTACATACATTGGAGAGAAGCTTGATAAGGAAAAAGAAAGTAGGACACAATAATTTATCAAGGATCTGTTAAGATAAAAGAGAGAAGATTTTTCCCAAAAATAGCAAGAAAAAAATACATATGGATGATAAGAATAAAAAGCCAATTTCTGGTTCATTCCCCTCATTTGCTGAGAGGAAACTTAACGTGGGATATGAAACTCTGAAATTCAGTGAAGAACTAGATACTCAGCCCCAAAAGCTTCTCTCTAGCCTCAGCTAATGTCAGAGCTAGGCCATAAAGTTTAGACAGGTTAGCCATTTTACGCCTCTGCTCATCCACTCTGGATTTTCTGTCTTCCTTAGTTGTCTAGTTTAGTATTCCACAACAGCATGAAAGGCATATGTGCATATGTGTATACTTTGGGTTTTGGCGGGGAGAAGGTTGAGGTGCTCATGAAAAAGGGTAGCATAAGCCCTGCAAGGCAGGAAAGTGAACCAATTTAAGTTTAATCTCACAGACAGTTTTTAACTTAGCACATCTTCTCTTGCCTTTTTTTCTTGCCTTTGAAAATTAGATCCACGTAAGTTGAAGTTCTCTATGTCACTGCTTACATTGTGGGAGCTGAAGCCATTCTATTTGCCTCAGTATCCCCATTCGTAATATGAGAATACGTCGTACTTCACACAGTTGTGAAGGTCAAATGACATGTGCATTTAAAGAATGTAACATAGTACTTGGACCATAGAAGCACTTCATGAATATGAGCTGTTATTACATATGGAATGTTTCTTAGCCTGTGGCTGAAGCCTGTGTACTAATTTTTCCATGTTATCTGCCCTTCACTCTCTAGTTCTTTTAATTTATGGGACTTCCTATCAAACTTGCTAGCTTATTGCTGATTTTAGCTGTGCTGTTATAGGTACTCCAGGGACCTAATGGATCAGTTAGCCAGTATCTTATTGAGAGTCACATAGCTTGTAGAAAAGTGTTAGCAATTGAATTTCAATATGGCTGAAAGTGTAATAATTTTTCCAGTGTGATTGAACTGAACAAAAATCTTTAATCATTTACTGTGTGCAAATAAGTATTCAGACTCAGGCAGAATTCATAAGGCCTGCCCTTCAGAAACAAATGTGATTATTGATTATCTGAATGATAAAATCATTTTCTGTAAAATTAAGTAAGAATAAACTATATTATATAGGGAGCTACATGAGAGGCAATAAGTAGAGGTTAGGAACAAGAACTCTAGCTAGACTGCCTGGCAGATCCTAATTCTGCCACTTAATGGCTTTGAGGCTTTAGACAACTGTTTCATTTCTCTTTTCCTCAGTTTCCTCACCTGTATAACAAGGACAGTGATAATAGGGTTGTTGTTGGATTGATCAGTGTAAAAATACTGAGAGCACCTGGCAATCAGCATTAGCTCATACATTTGGGTGTAAATATAATGTAGTAAATCATTGATATATGCCATATACTTTGAATTGTCTTTCAAGTTTCAAATAAGGTTGATAAATATATACTGTTACATCCTTATTGGAATTAGGATGTTTGAACGGTATGCATTTTTGACATGAATTTCTAAGATTGAGGTGTAATCTTTGGATGTAAAACAAGACCAAACTAACTTATAAATGTAGAGGTGAAAACTGCTAAATTACTTCTTTAACAAAATCTTATTAACATGTATTTTACTTAACATTAATTCAGTAGTCATTATGTATTAGATACTGTGTGTGTATATATATGTACGTATGTAAGTGTGCATATATATATATTTATACACACAATAAAATGTATAGTGTAGATTCTCATGTAGCCTCTGACATAAGTATTCCTCTCATGTAGCTCCCTATATAATATAGTTCATGCTTATTTAATTTTACAGAAAATGATTTTATCATTCAGATAGTCATGTAGCTTGTTACATAGTGCTATAAACTGATGAGTTAACCACTACAATAGGTATTTTAGATTATTTTTAGCACAGGGAAGAAAGCCCTTTTTCTTTGAAATCAACTGGGATATTATGATGAAAGGAAGCTTACAGACCAAAGTTCCTCTCTTTCCTCCATTTACCTGTCCATTTCTTCAGTCATTAATTCAACCTATACCACACACTTACTGTATACATGTTAAGCCCTGTCCTAGGTGAAGGAGTGTACAGGAGTCAGTAAAGACGTATCTTAGCCATCTTGGAGAGAGTCTAGTCCAGAGCTGAGAGGAAGGCTCATATAGTTACCAGAAATCTGGGAATGCAGCATTATGGCAGTAGGTATAGTGTGGGCTGGAACAGACTGAAAAATGCAAACTCAAGTACACTAAGACATTTGGACTCAAAGGTTCTTGAAACATTATCCCAACCAAAGAAAATAGAGCCTTCATCTTGATTAATATGGATAAGGCAAATGGTAAAATATTTGCTAGTAATTATAGATTTTTAGTTTATTCTTGTGGAAAAGATAAGTTAAATGAGGAAATCACTATTTCTAAAGTAACTAGAATATGTAAACATTCTTCAAGTTTTTAAAGATGATCTATTTAACCTGTATGCCTTTTGCCGGAACTTTTCCTTTTGTGACCCACATGTGCTCTCCTAATTTTATTTAATGTTAGATAAATAAAAGAGGTAAACAGACAGACTAAACAAATTAGGCGACATGAACACTGACTGCTTTTGCAAACACAGAGTCCTTCATATTGTGAACTTTTGAACCCATGTTTCTTAAAAGATAGATCACTTTTTCTTCCAATTCTACTGTGTTCCATTCTTTAGCAATTTATTCTTTACATTCTGTCAAAATAACATGATAGGAAAATGGTAGCAAATTAAAACCTTTATCTGTTAATAAATTATTCTTACATTCTTTCCCATGCTTAATTGAATTTCTTAATAGCAACTTCTTACAAATGGGCTAGAAACTCGAGACCATCCTGCATAGAAATCATTAATAAATAAGATTTTAGTGTATGAAAATATATCATACTATATGCCTAATGGGAAAATGACATGTGAAGTATAATATAACTGGAAAGAAAAACTTCTAATGATGGAATATTATTACAGTGTAGAGATTACCATTGAGAAGCACATGAAATTCTTATAGTTATAACCAGTACCACGAGTGAAATTTTTAATGAAAAGTCTGTTAATCTTCAGAAATTCAAGGGATATTTGGAATATTTGAACAGTATTATTAACCAGAAACATTCTAAAAGCTCTCCATAACAAAAGTTTTTCCTACACAAAATTTAGGACCCAAGTCATAATTCCTATCAGTGAATAAATTGTAGAATTTATTTAGAGCCTCAACTAATTTTTATTTCTTTACTGCATAAAAGTTAAGACATTAAGAAGTGTACAGTGCTTTAAAAAGTCACAGATTATTTCTTTTCTTTCTTTATACCTCTGCATTGCATTGATTTCATAAATACTAGTTGTGTCAGGACTTATGAATGTTTCAAACAACCCAGCTTAAGCAGTTGGCTTGAACAGTAAATCAACAATATTGGTTCTCACAACTAAAAAATTCAGAGGAGGAAGGTTTAGTTTTCAGTCAGGTTTTTTTTTTTCCAGTGATGCAAATAATGCCACCAAGCACCGAGTTCTTTCCACCGTTCTGCTCTGCCTTCCCCTCTGTGGGCTTCATACTCACCCTCTACTGGATGGCCTCCAGTAGCTCCAAGAAATCCCCTTTAGGAGCAAAATGACCATGACAGTTCCAGACTCATATCAAACTATCCAAAGAAAGCATCTCACCAAGTTCCTCATGTGAAAGACAAAAGAAACTTTGCTTTCCCAGAAATCCCAGAAAATGTCTCCTCATGTGCAAGGCTAAGAGTTGACAAGAGGAACGTTGAATTCCTGTACCCTAAAGAAAGGGAGCTTAAACAAACTCACTATTATAAAATGTCAACTATACTGTATCTGAAAGTTTCTTCTTTATAGTTTCTATAATCTATACAATAGCAAATGAAATACAGGTTTGTATACACAGAGCTACTGTGTAAAAGGAACTTTCCAAGGTGCTAAGAGGATTTTAAGATATAGACCTAACTCTCAAGTAATGTTCATTGGTTATGAAGGAGAAAAAACTAATTGGCGATAGGTTGCCTATTACATATATAATCTGAATGAGTTACAAGCTGGAATCAAGATTGTGAAGAGAAATATCAACAACCTCAGATATGTGGTCAATACCACTCTAATGGCAGAAAGCAAAGAGGACCTAGAGAACTTGATAAGGGTGAAGGAGAAAAGTGAAAAAGCTGTGCTTAAAACTAAATATTAAAAAACTAAGATCATGGCATCTGGCCCCATCACTTCATGGCAAATAGAAGGGGAGAAGGTGGAAGCAGTGACAGATTTCCTATTCTTGGGTCCTAAAATCACTGAGGACGGTGACTGCAGCCATGAAATTAGAAGACAGTTGTTTCTTGTCAGGAAAGCTATGACAAACCTAGAGAGTGTGTTAAAAAGCAAAGACATCACTTTGCCAACAAAGGTCCATATAGTCAAGGCTATCGTCTTTCCAGTAGTCATGTATGGTTATAAGAGCTGGACCGTAAAGAAGGCAAAGTGCTGAAGAATTTATACTTTTGAACTGTGGTGCGGGAGACGACTCGTGAGAGTCCCTTGGATAGCACGGAGATC